CTTAAATGCATATACTGTCTATATGCATAAAAAAGTCTCTGACGGATGATATGCAATTAGACAGTATCGACTGTATAAATAAATTAAATAGATATATTCAGATTGTCTAATATATGTTTTTGTATTTACAAGAAAAAATGTGTTTGCCCTTCCGAAACAAGGCTTGATATACTGTATTATGTTTTAATTTAAATCACACCTAATAATATATACATGCATAAAGGCTAATTTTAATTGTAATCTAAATAGCATAACCGATTACTTATAATTCTGGTCAAATTTATAGATCATTTGGCCAAATTCGAAGTCAAAAAACTCTGAACTTGGCCAAGCGATCTGCAAATTTGACCAGAATTATAAGTAATCGGTTCTGCTATTTAGATCACAATCAAAATTAGCTCTGATAGTAAAGTGATGATTTAATATATTAAATAGTGATATAAATTAATAACCTTGAATTAAATTAAATCTTATTAAAAAAAATCTAGCATATGCAGTCTAAATTATAAAGTATGCTTTAAAATATAATAAATTTTGTACAAAATTATATTCTATCTATTAGATTAATAAATTCGCATTATTAATATTTTTAAAACATGTCACCCACTCTTTTGAAATATTTGGTCAATTTTGGTTGGTTATATATCATTATAAACCAAATTTGCTATTTTTTTTTCCAGAATACTTAATGTATTTTTCATAGTTTTTAAAAGATTATAATAATAGCTCTAAAAAAATTCTAACATTGTATTTATTATCTTTATCCCTATATAAATATTAGCTACACATACACAGCATTTGGGATATTCATTCTAGTAACTATTGTATTTTGCAGGTTTAAAAACCTAGTTCTACTGTATTTACATATTTATAGAAAAATAATGGATTTTGTATCTATATTTGCAGAATATATAAAAGCTCATCACGCATCTATAGTTATTTTAATGCGAATACCATTCCAGCAAACAAAATAATACACTGCCGAAATTATAAATAAGTCAGAGGAATCCAAATAAAAATAATAAAGTCTATTTGAATCGGTAACCATATTTGTTTTCGATGGCATTATTGAGAGAACCAAATTTTAATTTTATCAAACAACCCTTCACTATTTTGTGGGTTTGTTTTAAAACCTTTCCTTGAAGTAACTGCCATCCAAGTATGAAAAAGAATGTTTGAGAGTTGCAAAATATCCTCTTTACGCTTGTGACCTGGCATTAGCCTCCGGAATTGTCTTGTTATCTTATAACTCCTTTCAACTCCTTCTGGAGAAACAAAGTCCAATGCCACCTTTATGCAACTTGTGTAATTACAAACTTGATGTGCACATCCTGCAGGCACAAATACTATATCTCCAGGGTTTTGATAAATTCTAACACCTTTAATACCATATTCTTTTAAAAGTCGTTTTCTTAAAGCCTCATCA